ACAAGGATCTCTGGGTGTGTCGTAGATATCATGATAAGTACTTAAACGTTGGACATGTAGGCGTCTTAAACAAGCAAAAGGAATCCATTGCCATATTATCATTTATAGAAAATAAAGAGGAATCAAATTAGTGTGCTTTAAAGGGGAAAAGGGGGGGGGGCGCAAAGACAGGTACATAACTGGAATTTATAATTTTGTTGTTAATCATTCATGGCTACTGATAAGGGATAAAAAACTTGCTTAGATCAAGATGCAGCGTGGCATCGCACCCAAGCTGATTCTACTACTTATACATGTATGAATTATATGGTAAGAGTTGGTACTATGACATTAGACATATTTTGTGCAGATGTTTGTGCTCAGATATCTTTTTAAAAATGTTCCTCTATAGCCACGTGTGTTCTAGGAATATATCCATAAACGGGGAAAAGCAAAAATCAAAATACTTGAATCTATAAACTCAAACCAATCAAAAAAGAATCAAAACCAAGTGCAGAGTAAGAATAGGGACTTACTCGAATATGGTGGTGGGGAATAATGAATATATATTCTGCTTATATCTAAGGTTATGATATTGTATAATACAGCACTTGAAACAATTACTATTACTGGATGATGTACCTTTATGGATAATCATCGTATTTAATGTGGCATTTTAGCGTGGCTTCTCTTCTCTGTTCTTAGTGAATGTGTATTCCTGTTATCTGCATCCTCTCTTTAATTTTTCGTGTATCGCCTGTTTTTGATATCAATTAGTCTGTCGTTGATGGTGTGATATGTGATATAGTGTGGCATATTGTTGGGCGTTTGGTGAATCACATCTGTTGGATGGGATGAGAAAGATATCCAGCTGTGAAGGTCGAGATGGAATCCTGTCCAGCTTTGGGAGTGATGTGTGAAGGAGGTGTTCCGTGTGTGTCTGCGGTCTCGGGTGTAGGTGTGGCTTCGTGGTCCCGGTCTCGATCGTCATGTCTCTGTCCCTTGAAGACACGGAGGAATTGGGTTGTCTCACCGTCGGCAGTAGCGGAGGCGGCGCTACGGCGGTTTTCACTTGACGGGGGAGTGGTGGTGGTGGTGGTGGTGATGGTGGTGGTGGGGGTGGTGGAGCGGGGGCCGTCCCTGGTGGAGGAGGAGGCTGCTCCCGGCGTCGACGGTGAGGGAGTTGGTGCGGTCCCTCTGCTTCTGGTAGGTGGGCAGGTGCGAGGGGGAGCCCTTGGACGAGCTCACGGGGGGGGAGCCCGAGGGAGGGGGGCAGCCCGGGAAGGCCTGCGAGGGGGAGGGTGGTGGTGGGCGACGCCGTGCAGGACCTGCTGGCGTAGCGCTGGTCCGAGACCCTCAGGTGCATCCCCGTCCTCCCGCTGCAGACGTCGGCGCCCGCGGCCCCCCCCGACCCCGGCGCGTCCTCCCCGTCGCCCAGCACCGGCGGGTGGAGGGGCGCGGAGGGCGTGGGGCAGCGCCGCTCGCAGGTGGTCGCCCCCGTCAGGCAGCGGAAGGGAATGCGGTAGATGCGGAACGGCTTCACTGCGTCGCGGTCCAGCACTGCAAGGGAGGTGAGTGCTCAGGGGCCAGGCCCAGAAGGGAATGCTTGGTCATATTCTCTAAAAATATCATACTAAATAAAAAACTGTAAATGTACTGTATTAATAAGATAATATGCATAGTGAAGAAAATGTATCTCCCTCCATAATGGCATATCTCAAAAAACAAGATATTAAATTGACATGGTAAATCATATGAAAGATTACCATTACTCCTGTCGATTACATCTGCCCTGTTAGGTTTTCACATTAGTTTAGCATCAACATCCGTTTCACAGCCGTTTATAATGTTTAAAATCAGTTTATTCCGTCTCGCTCAAAGACCATAGAAATTAAACTACAAAAAAGTTATTCTCCTAACTCATAGTAATCGTGAAGTCAAGAGAATTCTAACTCACGAATATGGCCACAAGAGAACAAGTAGGAGGACGGGGTTAGAGCTCCCACTATTCTCTGCCTCTGACTGCCAAAATTCCATGACAAGAGCCACCGTTTTTACTTGTAGAAGCACAAAAACAGAAACACACAAACATTCTCTCTCTCTCTCACCCCTCCCACTCTCCCAACACATCCTCCCCCCACGTCCCCCACATCCCCACACATCCCCCAACACAAATCCTCCCTCCCCTCTCTCCCTCTTCCACTCTCCCAACACATCCCCCCCCACGTTCCCCACATCCCTACACGTAACCCAACACAAATCCACCCTCCCTTCCCCCCCCCCCTCCCCACTCTCCCAACACACCTCCCAACCTCCCTACCTGTGAGTTCCTTGCCGTGGGGAGATGGCGGAGGCGAGAGGCTGGGGTCCCTCTCCAATCTATCTACTCTGACTCTCTCTCTCCGAAGGGTGAAGAATTCTGGAGCAGTCGTGGCGAAGAAGATGTCACTCTGGAAGGAAGATGTCAGATGTCACTGATGTCTGGGTGTTTGACATCGCTAAGAACATTGTGGTAATGTTT